GGCATGCGCGGTGTCGGTTTCGCGCCGAGGTGGCGGGAGGGGGGGAGCGGGGCGCGGGGCGGCGCCTTCCTCCGCCCCCCCGCGTGTGGAAGGATCCCTGCGGCGGCCGCTGCGGGTCACGGGTAGGTCTGGCGTGGGGCAGGGCACGGCTGGGGCGCTCCGCTGAGCTCCGAAGGCGCGGAGAGCTGGGCAACGCCAGGCAGTCGTCCGACTGCGTTCTGTCTCGTGCGTCGGCGAGGTGAGGTGAGGCGAGGCGGAGACGCCTCCTGCACCGCACCTGCCGGGTGTTTGGGTGGGACAGCCCTGCGTCTGGCGCCTCGAAAGCGTCTCCTTACGCTCTGTTCCAACTGGGGATGGCGCGGCCTGGGCGGCGCTGTATGCGGCCGGTGGGTAGCCTCGCAAATACGGCGGGCGTGGATGTGGAGCGTTGCAGCGGATGGGCTGTAGAAGCAACAAGGAGAAGACTGTTTTTCTTGTTATTGCGCTCAAAAGCGCGCTGATGAACTTAAGATTGAAGTTTCTGAAGCATATGGGCATGCTAATTTGCTAGAAAGGAGGGTGTTTCAGTGGAAGAAAAAAAAAGGCCTAGCTATGCCTGTTTATGATACATGTGATGTCATCAGCAAACAGGACCGGAGCGGCTACTCCAGGTTGTCGTGGAGGCCCACATCAAACAAAATGGCAAAAGTTAACAGTTTAATTAAGTAGTATATTCACGTAAAGAAGGTACATTTGAACTTCCAGTTTTGTTTGAGCTTCAGCGTTTAAAATACTGAAACTGTATTCATGGTTAAGCGTTTCACATTTTAGTTCTGACGTGACATTGGGGCCTGTTAGAGGTGTAGTGTTGTCCTCAAGCAGTTTTTTTGTTTAACAGGTGTATATCCTTCTTATTAGATTTCCTAGTCTTTGACAGATACCCAGTGGAAATGCCTACGTTAGAATATTTTGTTGCATAATAGTAATCTTGAAATAAATCTATGTATTGTAATGTCAGTGTGACCCTTAACACAGACAGACTTGTTGGATGGCAAAATTGGATGGAATTGTTGATGGAGAAATATTCCCTTAAAATAAAGGGGCGAACAGCTCAACTCTTCTAGGCAACAGTCAATGAGCTTAAAACTGCAGCCTTCATGCAGTCACAGAAAAATAACACTTGTGCATCTAGACAGCTTATTTAACATGCGAGTTGGCGGAAATAAATAAATACGTTTGGTCAGTATCCCAGATTATACAAACAAATACAATATTATTATGAATAAATTTATTGAAATTTGCGTCTGCAAGATCAGGATATTCTACACGCATGCTATTTGGCTCTCTTTTCTAAGTTAAAATGTATTTTGGGCCATTATCTGTTATGCCAGTTTGATCTATTTACAATTATTGCAGTTATTAATATTTACCTTATATTTGCGTTTTTAAAAATAAAAATGTGAAGAATGTGCTCAATTTCTGCTTAAATCTGAAATTAATATGTTAAATATGAACTCTGTACACAAACAGCAGATGTCAGTGTAAGAAACTAGTATGTTTTTCTGATTAGGTACTGGTTTGTGCAGTCCTACAGGAAGGTATGAAGGAGAGTATTACCTCGAATATTAAGAATTCTTTGGAGGGGAAAAAACCAAACACAAAAAACACTGCTATTTGATATGTGATCTTGGGTAGGTAACTTCTCAGTTTACAGAGCTCTGAAATGGGGCTAATGGTAGTTGTCAGGCCCATCATAAAATGAATTCACTAATGATTGCATGAGGACTTGTGCAATTCATGAATCATGGCAATTACACCCACTATTTATTCCTCAAGTTTGGCAGTTACCTTATTGTTTTGTATGACCCAGAAATATCAAATCAAGCTCCTATGTACGTATAATCCAGACAGGAATTGTACTAATAATTTTGGATAGGAATACATCTTTTCGATAAATGCTAAATAATTAAAATACAGAAAAACTTTTTTTTGTCACTGTTTATAAGTAGCTGCTCATTGTGTGTTCTTTTTAAAAGAATTCTCAAGAGATCTTTGTGGTCTCATTGTTATGCTCTTAGTTTAGTAGACTTACTACGTTGCTTGGAGTAAAAGGCTTTTTATCAGTTGCAACCTTGCTACCAGGTGTAGCAGTGCTGAACTGATGCTTCCTGTGATAATGTGGAACAGTGTTGTATTTTGCTGTATGAGTTAATTTAACAAGACTATCTTGAATGTTGTGTAGGCTTGAAACTCATAACAGAATTGATTCATAGGATACGATAATTATATACATCAATTGAAACACTCATTTTGATGATCTTATTGAGGGACCTCTTAATTCTCATTTCCTGTCCATTACAAAGTCTGTTTTCAAGAAGATGCTAATCCCAACAGATACACATACATGGCACACTCTGCTGTATTTGCTCATACCTCTTGCTTTAGCTTGTATTGTTATGCCCATTTTGCATATTTAGAAGATCAACATTAACTGTAGTGTGTTAGTTTTCCTGTAAAAGCTCCTTCAGGAAACGTGGTATAACATAGACGTACGCTTTCCTCCTAGCATGGGAAGTGATCTTGCTAGCCAAGAGACTGAACAATCTATGAGTAAAAATAGTTTAATTTTAAATACTGATTTTACCGAATCTGTTGCAAACAAAAACAGTTTACATGTTAAACAATTTTAAAAATCCTATTTTAGTAACTGATTCCTAATTAGTAACTAAATCCTCATTTTCATTGTGTTCATGATTTTGGGGAAAAGGCATTTTTTTCTGTTACAAACAGACAATATTTCCACAATGAAAAGTAGCTGACTAAACCAGATACTCTATTTTCCTTCCAAAACAAGAAAAAAAAATCAAATTTCTCCCCATCTAGATACTTTTAATAGTATAATCGTTAATTAGGCTTATCTGGGCCTATTGTCAGAAGTTATATTTATGCCTAAAATCTCATGGTTATTCATTAAATGTAGATAGTAAGGCCAAAAGATACTTTACTAGTATGTTGCTCTTACTTAAATAGTTTGCAAGGTGAATGCATTTTTTCCATTTGCTCTCCACCTGGTGTTTTTCTATATCGTGGCCTAGTTATATGTTTATATTATGAATTTATTTTGGAAATTACTGCAGTGACACAGATGTACGTCACAGTTTTCATAAGAGATATTAGATGAGGAAAATAAGTTGCAAGATATAAAACTATTACGATATGTGAACATAGAGGTTTTGGTGGGTTTTTTTTTTCCTCTGCAATATATTTTTATGTAATATTTCTCTTAAATGCAGCGAAATCTAAGATTGTTAATATTTTTCAGTTTAATCTGTGGCTGGACTCTTCTCTTTAGTATGTGACGTTACTTTGAGAAATTCACCTACACATACAAAACAATTGGGATCTCATAAACTGGCCAACACAAATGATGTTTTCATGAAGTATACTTGTAATTCTGGTATTTCAGTTATACTCATTGAACTATATGCTGTACTGTATGAAAAAACACTCCCGTGTTTCCACCATACTGGAAGAAACTGTTCATCAAGCAGCCCTGACTTATCCAAATACAGAATGGAGAGTAAGGTAGGGCTGTTGTGTGGGGGCAACAAAAAACTTGGTGGTTTTTTTGACAGCTCATTAAGAAGCAGATAGAAAGTTAGGTTGTTCTCTGAAATGGTCTCTGTAATCAGCTGCTCTTGTTGGTCAGTTAAAGAATGTCTTGATCTCTGAATAAAGTTTAGGTATGGATTGGGTAATACTTCATATTTAAAATTCTTGTAGCTCAGTTTTGGTTTGGATTTTAAAGCCTAGCGACTGATCCCAAAGAAGGTAACTGTGAAGTCTTCCATCTTTCAGATTTTCAGTCAGGAGTATCTGGAGCATAGATTTTTGTCAGCCTTTGAGTTCTGGTTATCTTTTTAAAAGCAAAGTTTTGGATTATGTGGGATCTTAATTTTCATTTGTTTGAAGAGATTTTGTGTATCATTTGTAGTATGTTTACGTATCTTACCTTTTTTGTTTGTGTAGGGTTTTTTGTTACTTCCCCCTCCCTCCCAGCTCCATTTCTGTAGCAGTGGGTGTCAGACGATCCTTGAGCTCATATGTAGAATGTTTAAGTCTCTGGAAGCATCTGATCATTAAAGTTCATTATTAGCCTACAGATCAGACTATAAAAGTGAGTGTGATCAATTTTGGAGATACAAAGTACTGATACTAGTTATCCAGAAACTGGATCTGCAGAATGTGTTTAGTTTTTGGGTTTTTTTTTTAGAATGGTAAAGATTGAACAAACCCAATACATTCTCTAGCTTTTCAGGGTGTAAACAATTGAATGGTGATTCAGAAATGGGAGTCTGTTTTGTTTGGTTGGGCTTTTTTTGTCTTCTACTTCAGTTGCATATTCTGGTTTTAGTTAATGTTCTAGTACTTATCTCTGTTCTATCTTGACTGTGTGCATATATATGTGCAAAAAAACATCACAAAGTTGAGAGTAGAATTTAATCTACACTTGAGTTTTATGTGGCTTTGTGTTTTATGTTTTCATTTGAGGCTGTGTTAGTATTAAACAAAAACCGGAATGCTGTTAGTGAAAAATAAATGCCTACATGAACTTTAAAAAACGCATAAATAGGGTTATTAAATGGCACTTAGGAATTCCACTAATAAGACAAATGTGTTTAACAAATATAAATGATCTTTTTTTGCTTAAGCAGAAAATTGCAAAACAGGTATGTGACAAAAATGTTTAATTGTGCCACAGCCCTACAAGTTTTAACAGAAACCTGCTCAGTTCTAGTATAGTAGTCCAATTTTATGTGATAATTGTTTGTCAGATGTTCTATCCTTAGTAGT